CGATGATTCACCAAGGTATTCCAGATCAGCATCGCTTGTTTTGGACGGATTTAGGAATTGATGGTATTGCAAATATTTATCGCTTGTTATCCGTATCAGCTGAGAAGTTTCTGGATGCAGTACAAGAATGTGAATTTAGGAATGAAGCCGAACAAAGGATTTATAACTACCTGATTCGTATGATAGAAAGTATGAAGATTAATTCACTGCGTAATTTTCTTCGGTTCTGGACTGGTAGCTCTGTTTTCATTACTGACAAGCTGTTTGTTATTTTCACATATGGGTATTCTCCATTTGCCCACACTTGTGGCAGTACTTTGGAACTACCTTTGCATTACAATAACTATCAAGAGTTTGAAGTAGAATGGGATGCAATCCTCAATAACATTCAAGAAGAATGGACATGGTCTATGGATTCATTGTAAGACTCTATTAACTGTTACTCTTATTAGTAACTTACATTATTATCATTACTTTCAGTTAAGTCACTTAAATCATTATTTTAATCATAATTATTCAAAGAGGAAATTTTATTAAAGTTATAATGAGTCTAGAAAAGATAGAGTTTGTATGTAAATGTCTATCCCATATTCGTCAGAGTGTCCTAGTGGGGAAACTGCATTTTCAAGTAATTGAAGATTCGAGGATGATATACAATGGGATACAGCTGGTATGCTAACAGTATTAGATTCTTCACTTGGCACTGGACCATCGTTATCTATTCCATAACTATCATTGTCAACATTCTCAAAGAAATCCAAAGCAGTGAGACCAGAATGTCGAAGCAGTAGTATTCCAGCAGTAAATAACTGAGAAGGAGATTTTTGATGTGTTGTTCTCATTGGATGATGATTCCAACCTTCTTTGAACAGTTCAAGAGATTTATTTATCCTTGGAATGTACACATAGTGTAAAGCAAACATATGCTGTTCATTTGTAATATCAAGCAGGTCATATTGTTCCATAAAATAAAAAAGTCTATAGTACAAACTTGTGACACACTTATGCATGTCTCTCCATAGACGTTCTATCCTCTGATTATGTACGGAGGATCCAACAATCGCACTCTGTCTACCAGCACCCCGATGCTCCAACATATGTTCCACCACCAAAATGTTCTCCATGCCTTGGTCTGTCCTCACCCTAGAAGGTAAGTGATACTTGTTAACAGCCTCAAGAAAGCTCTGATAAACAGTAATAGACTTGATGTTAGATGCACATCTGAGAAAAACAATCAACCTGCTGAAGCCATCAATGCCTCCATGTGTTACTAGTCTCCATCTGATAAGCTTATGATGTGAATCTGAAATAAAATATATTTAACTAAAATGTATATTATCACCTAATTAATTTTATGCCATATTAATAAAATGTAATTTCATTCCCTTCCAATGCTAATATTATCACAAGCTTACCAATATGCCAGAGTGAATTAGGTCCAGGAACACTGTACATACGTCGGCGAATTAATCCACCTGGCCATCTAATAGAAGCTCTCAAGGGATCACTTTCTTGTAACGCATCTCTGACACGAGCTCTAGTGACTTTGAACCCTCTTGCGCGAAGGAGGCCAACAGCCATAGACACACCAACATTAGGGTCACTTTCCTTAAACTCAATTATTAATGAACGAAGCTCTTGATTAGATATGTCAGGATTTAAATCTAACATTCCAAATTCAGCTCTCCTCCTAATAAGACAGAAATTATTATTATTATTATTATTATTATTATTATTATTATTATTATTATTATTATTATTATTATGTGTAACTGTGGTATCATTCCAAATTATTACAAAAAATGGTGGCACTTCAAAACAGTTCATGAAACTTTGACCTTGCGAAATCCTGCAAATTTATCATTTGTGAAAATTTTCATGTATAGGGTACATCAAGCTTTTTACACATGCTAGCACATAATGTAATTAAAGTTCATCATTGATGGCATAAATAATAACAATACTGGATAATAATTATGTGTATATACCTGTATAATGTCATTCTTGATATACACAACAAGGCAGCTATCTCAGTCCACTGAAATGAAAGTGAAACTAGGTACTCCACTTGTTCTCTAGACACATCAAACTTTGGACGTCCACGTCTACCAGTGTGTGCAATGGAAGCTTGATACGATACCGTAGCATTGTTTCTGGCAGAGCTACATTCTAGTACTGTAATATAATTATTCCACTTATCCAAAGATTCTCGTAAATAAGAGAGCAATTGGTCTACCAGCATTCTATATTCATTAGCAACAGCAAGTTCTTCATTAGAAAGAGCCGATACATCAGACGTCTGAAACAACATTACTAAATTAGAACAGCTGTGAATTGATAGCTCGATCCTTTCCACTACATACTCCGCCAAGTTAAGGTTACAGATACCTAGATTTCTCTCAGCTGTTGTTAATAGTTGATACAGCTCTGTAAAGAACGACACCCAAGCTTCCACTGCTGCCATATGCCATTAAACTATAGTCACACCCAGCCCTCTGTGAGTGGGTGTTAATTATGCAAACTTATTTACATACAAACTCTATCTTTTCTAGACTCATTATAACTTTAATAAAATTTCCTCTTTGAATAATTATGATTAAAATAATGATTTAAGTGACTTAACTGAAAGTAATGATAATAATGTAAGTTACTAATAAGAGTAACAGTTAATAGAGTCTTACAATGAATCCATA